AACAGCTCTTTAATAAACTAAAATCATACCGTCAACATACTTCAACTATATAAAACTCTCTTGCCTCCCTTATAAAGTTTAGTTCTCCATACAAACTGAATTAAACAGAGAAACTCACATCTTAATCATATAAAATTGATAGAATAAGAAAAGAGAGTAAGGAAANAGAGAGTTATCCAGCTTTGTTGCCATTCTTCAAGGGAAGTTCCCTTCCCTTGAACTCTCACGTCCACCTCGTTGTCCTAATCTATCCTTCTTGGTCTTCTCTTCCTTCTGCTGTCGACAGATGTTGGATTAGGGTTTTTCTCCTTCTTCTCTAGTTTCACAGCAGTTCACAGCAGTAGAGGCACTGCTGTCTAATCCGATTTTTTTTTCTTTTTCTCCCAAAGCGTGTCACCCTCCTTTTGGTCTTCTTTTTCCTTTTATATTGAGCATGGGTTCCCCTTTACGGCTGAAAAGGAATAAGTTGTCCACATATGATGTTTCTCATTGGGTAGTCAATGACCCACTTGGATGCTGATGTGGATTTAAAATTTCCATGCCATCCCCATTTGTTTCCAAATTTGCTACTCCTTCATGGTTCCGCATAAATGTCTGAAATTTTACCACATAACTCAATTAAATGTACAATTAAGATTGATTTATGCCAAATCATTTTTTTTTCATGGTTGGACCGCGATAAACAATTTCATGCTCACTAAGTAGAATAAATGGGGTAATAAATGAAAAAATTGTGAATAAAAGTGCAATATTAACTACAAAAAGACATTATATGACTCTACTTTTAGAGTTATTAAATACGCTCATAACAATCGATCTACTTAGTCTCATTCATGGAGAGCTAATCTAAGGCAAATGTGGAAAATAACATAGTGTGCATGTAACCGCCATCTAACATCATCACACATAATTCATGCAAATTAGACATGCAAACTCAACGGGGCGATGGCTCCCATCAGGAACCCGGAAAGCAGAGTTTGCGCTCAATGGGGTGATGTCATCCCTCAAGTATCCGAAACGTAGAGTCTATTCAACAAGAATTAAGCATGTGCATCCGTAGAGTGGGAGCTTAAACATACAAGCAACACCTAGGTAATTCTCCCAATACGCCCGTAACAATCGACTTGCCTAATCTCATTCATGGAAAGCTAATCTAAGGCAAATATACTAACATGCATGCAATCCAAGCGAGTCCTACAAGTATTTCTTCCTAAATACCGGGTGGTGACTTACCTGGTTGACGCGTGTCCTTTCGCTAGCGTCTCTATGCTCGTAGGGTGTCCAAAAACACTGATTATCCTCAATTAGGTTCTTATTCACATAAAAATATTATTAAAATAAGAATCGGGACAAACAGAAGGTAAACGAACGAAAAATGAGCCTCTCACATGCCCTCACACGCTGACCACGCGCTAGCCATGCACAAGAAAGGACACCAAATGCAGGCTGCACGCGCGACGGCCACGCGCGGACCGCTTCACGCAGTCACGGGTTGGGTCGGTTCGGCTAGCAATTCGGCCTGGTTTCTGTGGGTGACACGCGTCATCGTTCTGCTAGAGCTGCTTCCCTCCAGCCGACACTCGACACGTCACCGCCTACCGAGCCGCGTGTCACGGTCCTACATTTTATACCATGGCGTCGTGATCTTGACATGCTCACGACTAGCCTTGAGGAAAATTAAGCCCCATATATATTTTTCGCTCCGGCTTTGTGGCTTCGTCGAATCTTAGGCGAGGTTTGTCTTCGCCAATCGAATATCGCTTGTGTGGAATTCAAGCTTGTTCACCACACACGTTGCTTGCGCGTGCATGTTCAATCGTCTGCAACACATCCAACTTGCCTCTACGCTAGGCCAAGTCATTCGGCTCGACCTTGGCTCTGCTCGAACCAAGGTCTCTCAATGCAATGTCGCATCTCATATTGTCATCTCGATCCCCATCGACAGGGTCCATATGTCTTAACGCCATCTCGAGTCTCGGGATGACGTCGGCCATCATAACTCGCTTGGTCATGCCATCGAGAATGGGCCCACGTGTCGTTCATCTCATCGGGGCTTCCCGAACATCCATCCATCTGGGTTCTATCGAGGTATAGACCCTCCCGTGCCCATGCCGAGTCATTTACGGATACCGTATCGGATAGCGGGTGTATGTAACAACCTCCAACACGCGGGCTAGGGCGCAATACCGACACACCCGTGCTGTCCGGTACTGTCCTTCAAAAACCCATTTCAAAGGAAGTCGCCCGAGACACTCGTCTCGGCACGCTCGCCCACACTGCGACACACGTATGTGCCACAGGGTAGCTCACTTAGGCCACAGGGCCCAAGGGTGGTGGAGAGCTAACAAGCCATTTTCATTCTACCAGGCGTAAACATGATTTTGGTGAGTGGTCATACGGTGTCGTGCATTGTCCGCCCGGTGTCCGATTGACACCAAACTTGGCGAGCATCCATATTTCATATGGACGGACTTAACTACCAAACCGCATGCCCAAATTCCTTCTAAAACTCTGACTTTTGAGGCTAAGGCCCGGGGCCCTACCCGGCCCTTCAACAAGCCTATCTTTGTCTTCATGTCTATTATGATGTCTCTGTCTTGCTTATGTCTCAACTTGTCTTCAATGCCCACTTTGCGTGGTGGTGTGTTGGATGATGCATCGTCTTCCTCGATCGCATCATGACACTCTTCTATATTGGCCCGTATGTGACCAATGAGCGTCTCTTGAGGGACGCCACTTTGCTTGTCATGGCGTGAGGGTCACAACCTACTCTCTTCATAGTATGGTTGTGATACCGCGCTTCGCCGCCCGGCGCCTCTTCGTTTTTTTTTTTCTCTCTCTCCGACAATTCGTAGCCCTTTTCCAATCTACCGTTTTTCGATTTTCATATCTTTTGACCCAGAGCTCGGATCGATATGGTTCCTTCGGCAAAGTTCTAGATCATGTTGAGGGCTACATCTTGGTATTTTTTTTCGTGATTTTAGCCTCAACATAGAACGAGATTTGAGCTACAGAAGTTCGCCTACCGTTCTCAGATAATTCCCAGATTTCTGCTAAGTTTCTTCACGAAGTCAACTTCCCTAGATGAACGTATTCAAACATTAGGTCCCGATTCGTAAAGGTTAGTCTTGGATCTGGAAAACATTCAAGAACTCACCTCGACTCTGGACGAAGTCTTTGCGACTGCTCCTCGATTCTCCCAAACCCTCACCTAGTCTTCCCTTTCTTTTTGGTGGCCTCTATTAGGGTTCCACTTGGACCCCTATAGTAGGTGGAGGGCAAATGACACATTTGCCCCTCCATGGGCTTGGGCCGATTTATTTTTATTATTTTTTTTTTCGGTGTTACAAGATATCCATGATTATTATATTATGTCTCTTTTGATATGTTTATGCATATTATTATTGTGTTATTATAAGGGGACGAATTAGGGGTTGAAAGAGGTTCATTTCAACCTCTAATTGTAAACTCAACTCAATGATTGAGAGCCCGCATAACATTTTAGAACTGGCTATGATTGAATTGTACTATGTGCGGACTATTAGAGGTTCACCAGTTAATTTCTTATTATTTAACTTGCTTCGATCAACTGGGGTGTGCGGTAGTACTTTTTAAGTTGATAGAACTAAGCTTGAGCCCTATAATGCATGAATATTAAGAGAACTTTATGAGTACCTTGTGGGTATGGTTAGGAGGTCCCCAACCACTCCCTAATCGTGATTTGTTACGAATGAGTAAGGGACAACATAGGTAGATGAACATTGGTTAGATTGAGGGTCACTCCCTCCTTATGACGTTTACATTATAGGGGCCTATTTGGGAGATTCAACTAAACTTGACTAGAGAATTTAAGAACAGCGTCCATAACGGTATAATGAGAACTATAGGTTGGAACCTATTATAGAGTTGCACCTTGAGTGCCTGTGTTATATAGGTTGATGACAATTAGAGGGGCTAGTAGAATGACTAACCAAGACATCTTAAACTTCCAAGAATAAGCTAAGAGAACGGTTGACCCATAGAGGGTGAAGAAAAGGAGAATTCAACGAGTTACGCAACATGACCTTACATCGAGCTTAGGTGAACTAAGTAAACATAGGGAAAAGCTTAATAAAGTCTATAACTTAGGAATGGGGTTCTAACTTAGGTGAACTAAGTAAACATAGGGAAAAGCTTAATAAAGTCTATAACTTAGGAATGGGGTTCTAAGTATAAATGAGACATCGAACGAATGAACAAGCTTAATAAAGTCTATAACTTAGGAATGGGGTTCTAAGTATAAATGAGACATCGAACGAATGAACAAATCAATGAGATAAGACTTAAGAAACTACCAGCAAGCTACTTACTAAGTATTTTTATACTTCTCCATGACACTTTAATCATTTAAGATGAGGCCTAAATCGAGCCGTCGAGGCGAGAGCGTACATGAACTTTTCAAAACAATGTGAATTAGCCATACATTTGATGTCAGAATAGTTAGACTTTAGACTCGACGTCAGAATAGTTAGACTTTAGGCTCGATGTCAGAATAGTTCAACATTTTAAAAAAAGAAAAATACTTGACTTTAGCCATACATTTGACCATGAAGATAAAAAATAATAATAATAATAATAATAAAAAACGGGAAGAAGCTATTATGTATAGCAAAATGAATTAATAATGAGTAAAATAATAATAATAATAAAAAACGGGAAGAAGCTATTATGTATAGCAAAATGAATTAATAATGAGTAAGTAGTGGGATATTAAATTAAATTATATAATAAATAACCACCTAATGAAATAATGAATTAATAATAATAATAAAACTAATCATTGTTATAATATTAGTCAGACATCCATTTAAGTGGAGTCAAGAAATCCATACACAACAACCGAACACAAGCACCAAGGCCTACAAACTTTGACCATTCAAATTTTCACTACATTTCTTATTTCAACCATTTCCACCAACCTTCGGAGCTCTTCTTCCTTTCTCGCTCGCCTCTTTCTTACCTTTACCTAACGCAGCCCCCGTTGCGCGGTTGTTGCACAAAGCTTTCTCTATATAACCATTTTTCCCCATCTTTCTCCACAACTCAGATATCAATTCTAATTCTAAACCCAACTCACATTCTTACTTCCTCTCTAACACTCTCTACTCTTCATCTTTTATTTTGCTATACAAATGGCCCCAGCTCCCTTCCAACAACTTGCCGCCCAAAATGGTTCGGTGGAGACCTTCTGCATTACCCGCAACGATCCACTTAACTGGGGTGTGGCTGCCGACGCTCTCAAGGGAAGCCATCTCGATGAGGTCAAGCGCATGGTGGAGGAGTACCGGAGGCCCCTTGTCAAGCTTGGCGGTGAGACTCTCACCATTTCCCAAGTGGCCGCCATTGCCACTCGTGATAATGATGTGCTGGTCCAGTTGGCTGAGTCTGCTAGAGCTGGCGTTAAAGCTAGCAGTGATTGGGTTATGGAGAGCATGAACAAAGGCACTGATAGTTACGGTGTTACTACTGGCTTTGGTGCTACCTCTCATAGAAGGACCAATCAAGGTGGAGCTCTTCAGAAGGAGTTGATTCGATTCTTGAATGCTGGGATCTTTGGAAGTGGAGCTGAGTCCACCCATACTCTGCCCCACTCCGCTACCAGGGCGGCTATGTTGGTGAGAATCAACACTCTTCTTCAAGGCTACTCGGGTATCAGATTTGAGATTTTGGAAGCCATAACCAAACT